GTGTATTTTTATTGTATAATGAGATAAATGACCAAATGCTTTTAATGAATAGAAAGCGTCTTCAAGTGACAACAAATGTCGCCAGACAAAAACTATAAAAAATACCGAATAAAGTAAGCGACATCATAAGATTTGTTGTTAATATGACTATAATACACCTTTATATCAAATTTCAATTTGATATTTGAAAAATTGACCGAGTTATGATAGATTGAATTTTACGATCTGCGGCGTGGCACGTGTGTGTAATAACCTGTACAGTTAAGAAAGCGTCACTAGACAATATCTTTAAAAACTCTTACTAAAGTAAGCGACATCAGAGGATATGTTATGAATAAGACTTTTATTGATATATACTCCAAATTTTAGCTAGATATATGAAAAAACGACCGAGTTATGGTGAATTTATTTTTTACGATTGGCGGCGTGGCACACGTGTGCGAATTGAACTCCGCAGATCGTGAAGCGTCTTCAGACTTTACCTCTAAGATTAACCACGGAATTAGATTAGATTGTTATCTAAGTCCGTGGATTAACCTAAAAAGTAAGCAACATCAGAAAATATATTTTTCATATGACTATGAACACATATGTGCCAAACTTCAGGTCGATATTTGAAAAAATGACATAGAAATGACGAATTGAATTTTTACGATTGGCGCCGTTGCAAATGTGCATAAAGAAATTTACAGATCGTGAAGCGTCTTCAAACTATATCCTAAAAGTAATCTAAAAAAGTAAGCAACATCAGACGATATGTTATTCATATGACTATAACCACGTACGGACTTAGACAATTCCGTGCTATAACACACTTTTATACCAAATTTCAGTCTGATATTTGAAAACATTGACCGAGTTATCGTGAGATAAATTTTACGATGTACATGTAAAAGTATGAAAATTTACAGCGTATCACACATGTTAGTCCGAATTATTCTGAAGTTTTATCCACTTTTTTCATATCGGTCTGTCGTCGATTAATCGACGCCAGACCGATATTAAAAAAGTTGATAAAACGTCAGAATAATTCGGACTACACACATGTGTGCACACATATATAAGGACTTCGCATAGCTGAACAAGGCCACCCCGGATTATATTGCTGTGTAAACACTGGTTTAGCATTTTGTTTGTTTTATTATTTGTTGTTTTCCTCGTCAGAATGGATGATTTTATTTCAGTTCCATGGAGGATTTTTTTTCAGTTCCATTCTTTCTAGAAGTTACCAGACCGCTACGGACTCTTTGTCCGTAATATATGTTCGTGTGACTATATATATGTAATATGTTTGAAAACATATAAATACTGCGTTTTTATTTGTAGACTTATAAATAAGAATAAGATAAAAAAATAACTTTTAATAAAGCTTAATGCTTAATACCGTCAGTATTTTCATATTTTTAGCGATTCCTGCGGTATTGTTAACATATCATTCGTAGAAGTAAAAACAAAAGTCGGTTCTCTAACACACATGTTTTGGGAACTTTTAACTTTTAGAGCTTTATCTAATGTTGACAATTCCCGCAAGACAACTAAGCTTGAAATTTTGCACGTGCGCGGCCAGTTCATAGGCACCGGTACCAACGACCATCAAAAGAATTGCGATTGTTGCATGCTGAAAAAGCTCGGGAACCCATTTTTCTACGTACACCATTCACGAACTTAGACTTAATCTAATTACGTGGTACATCATAGTATTGAGACTGATGAATAGTATAAAGTACATAAACCCTGAATTCGATCGGGAACTTCATAAGTTTGAAACTTGAGCATGTGATTCATTGATTTGCAATTGTTGTTTTTCAATCTTTTTTGTAAAACACCCTCGCGCTTGATCGTTGGTAAAATCTTTTCTGACCAATATGTCTCTATACGTGTTCTATACGACGCATCAATCTTTAGCGAGATAGTAATGGATTTCATATCAAATATCAATTCAGCAAACTTTTCTTTTGTTATTTTGTCATAGATTATACATAAACTGAACTTTTTCGGGGCACCATCTTGTTTAATATAAAGTAATACAGCAATATGATCCGGGCTGGTCGTATTCAGCTATACGGTCGAAGTCCTGCGTACATGTAGACATATGTGACACGCCGAGAGCTTCATACGTGTACTCATAAAACTTAAATATCCCACGATAACTCGGTAATTTAGCCCCCTGAAATCCATCGTTTCTGATTGTACAATGTTGTTTTTCACGTCCAATAAATGTGTTGAGAATGCATTTTTTTATAAAACTGTTTTACTTCACAATATAGCTGTATATTTTATATATTGTGTTGCATAGATGATCAGCAAACCTTGTGTGTACCAGGTATATATAAATTGGGTTTTAATGCATATACTTTCTGTTGATATGTATATTAAATGTTCATTTTAGGGGAACTAAAGGAGAAACCTGCACTTGGCGGGGAGGAGACTGATGTGAGACCAGTTATGATAGGCAAAGCCATTCCTGAAGGTTTTCTAGAAAGTGGTGATAAAGGCCAGGGACCTTCTCTGCCTACACTAGATGTGATTAAGCTCATATTGGTGATCTATCCAAACAAAGGAATGATGACATACTGTGTTTAAAATCTACTTTTTAGACTAATAGTGCATTTAAGTGACTATTCAGTCCATTTGTACTGGCCTAAGGACAGTCTTTCTGTGGATGTACAAGTTTTCTAGGGTTTTCATCATGTCAAAGTGTTTACTGGAGGTAAAAGGTGAGGACAAAATGTGTAGTGATGTGATTTGAGTATTGAAATTTTCCTTGGCCAATAAATTGATGGGAAATGAACAGTTATTTATTATCTACAAAAAACCCAGTATTGAATATAGGAAAAACATATTCTGTGCCTTAACTAAACTGCCTGTTTTGTTTTCTGAAAATGATGTTTAAAAAATATTTGGGAAAAACAATCACTAAATTAAAACAGCAAGATTTTGAAGTTTTTCATTCAAATGAAAAATGGTACTGTTGGAACAAGTGACCTCATCAACCTCAAATATTTACATGGGGAAAGTCTGAGGCTAAGTATACCAGCATATTCAACTAAAATAGAATGGTCAAATACTTATTACGCATGATTATACTGTACTGAGTGGTTGGGTGGTGAAGTGGATAGCGCACCAATTGCCTTTCACCGAGGCGGCCGGGGTTCAATTCCCCAACCAGACGTGAACAGATATGGGGTCACCTGCCCGAACACGTTGGTTTTCTCTGGGTACCCAGTTTCCTCCAATAACACCCCCCCTCCCCAAAAAAATAAATAAATATATATATAAGCTGAAATATGTTGTTTCATATTGTTGTAAAATAAATAAAGTTTATCTTTAATTCCTGTACGAGTTTTGACCAAAGTGTCGCAAGAATATATACGCTAAAGAGAAATAAAAATTGTAATTAATCCGTAAGACAGAAAGCCATGATTTTCTTGATTTGTTTTCTTCGTTGCATTTTTAGATATAATCTCTTCAATACATTAAAAACTCGTTGAGCT